GATGTCAGACAAGATATGAATGTTTTTTTGGGCTCAAATGAAAGAGCGGGTCGAGAAATGGCGTGCTAGGGCCTCTAAAGATGGTTTTGAACCAGGGGAGACACCTAGACCCCAATATTCCATACATACTCCTAGCCCCCATTGTCCTCCTAGACAATGTTGTCACAACTCTGATTTTCAATTGAAAACAGACATCATCTTTACAGACATTTGTCATGTTTAAAGACCCTAGCACGCCATTTCTCGACCCGCTCTTTCATTTGAGCCCAAAAAAACATTCATATCTTGTCTGACATCGCTGCTACAAACTCGGGTCTACAACTCGGGCTTTCGATTAAAGGCCCGAGTTGAAGACCCGAGTTTGTAGCAGAGATGTCAGACACGATATGAATGTTTTTTTGGGCTCAAATGAAAGAGCGGGTCGAGAAATGGCGTGCTGATGCCTCTCAAGATGGTTTTGAACCAGGGGAGACTCCTAGACCCCAATGTTCCATACATACTCAACGTATCAAGAGAGGGAGGAGAAGAACAAATACGTAACAGTATGAAATCTACTATTGAACGATACTAATTAGGTATCAATTTTTCATTTTTTTTCACGCAATTTACTCGCAAAATTCAAAGACTGAAATTATCCCGATCTCTAGCGCAGCCCGTCGAAAGGATAGAGCTACTTTAACCAATTATTTATCCCCCCAATTAATATTATTATTTTTGACCCCCAAATTATTCCAGGACATTGGAAGACAAGTGCGACCGAACACTCTCCGCGCGAAATATGGGAAATCAAAGGTGCAGAATGCTGTTCACTGCTCCGACCTACCTGACGACGGTCTCCTCGAGGTAATAACACTAAAAACATATACAAAAAAATGAATTGAAATAAACAGCGAGTGTTAATTGCTCTCCAGGTGGAGTATTTCTTCAAAATCCTCGACGACGGAAGCAGCTCAAATTATGTGACAACAAAGTAAATGTCCGATGAGCCCATAAAGTCCTCACTGATATGGCGCGTCAGTGGTTAATTACTCAGAAACCAATCAAAAAACACTAGCTTATAAGCACGAATTAAAAAGAAACAAAACCACTGTGGGTATCGAATACTTGTGAGTGATTTATTAAACAAACACGCATGCTTTTGCTATCGAACATTTCTCATTCCTTGGGAATTCAAGAGCGAAGTATTGTTGATAAAGTTTGACCACAATTCCAGGGCATTGATAATACTGTTGTTTTGTGAAATGAGTGCCACAAGCGCATGAATCAATAAAATATGAATTTATTAATTATGAAGTGAAGAGAGGCAAAGTGTTTTTATCGTAGACCCCAACTAGTTTTAGTGCTCCATCTTTCCTTTTTACTTCACGTTTAATAAAAATATTATTCAATGACTCGTACATTTCGGTTCTAATTGAGAATTTACTAGGAAACATCAAAGTAACCGTTCGGTTGTTAACAACTCAACTCAATAATAAAGAAATCATCCTTTGTGAAGAGACCAAGGGATATTAGAGGAGAAGTAACACTAATTGGATGTCATAAACGTGCGCCATTTTTTATTAAAGGAGAGTTATTTATACAGCATTTCAGATCTTGTGATGTCGCAAAGGGATCCAGAGGGAATCTCGACAGAACATATTACTTTTTCTCCAATATCTCGTAAACTTTCAACTGGAATTGAACAGCATGAGAATGAACGCCATCATTGAATGAATCCCATCCCATCCCTTTGATCTTATTGATTTTCTATCGAAATAGAATGCAGTAATATTTCCGACTGAAAGTTTTTGGATTATTCTCTTCTATCCACAAACTTTATAAATATATTTCCACGGTTCACCGATGCAGAGGAAAAACGTTTCTAGTTTTCAGTAACAATTTTTGTATTTCGCAAACTTGTTGCACTGTAACTTTTCAATTTTTTAGAAATTTTCCCAAAACATCGGAGGAAAAAGTTATGATTCTCAGTAAGTTTTACTGAAATCTAGTAGGATTATATTTTAATTGAGGTGCATTTTCTCTTATTTGAAGGAATTCACAATTTCTGCGTTCGTAAAATGATAACATTCTCATTATTGAATTGATGATTTTTCATGTTCCAATATTAATCTACTCCTGTTTACAAATCCTTCATCATCAAGAGTGTACCATTCCATATCTGTCTTCAATTAATATTCAATTATTCCAGAATTTTACATTTTAGTAATTCATTTCAATTTCTTTTTCTCGCTTAAGGCCTTCTCAAATCATGAAATTCCCTAGTCAAACAACTCCCATGACCTTGTTGCAAGTATTCACCCTTCTGTTACCTGTCAGAAGGGTTTCAAGGGAAGAACTTAACAACATCATTTTCCTCGGCAATTTCCCTGATGAATTCACCAGCAAAAGAAGATTAAAAAAAAATGCAATTTAATTGAGAATAGTAAACTGAAGACCAAGATCTCATCGGTCTGTTAGGAAATGGCTTTTCATATTCGCCAGCTTGAACAGACCGGTAAGTGGCAGTTGAGCGCTTGACATCGACCGGCGCAGACCAACTCCAGTGTTTATCTTCATTGTTTAAGTAATAAAAATCGTTTTCGAAGGACTGCGCATTTTTATAGAACAGGTTTGAACGTTTCTTCGGGTTTTAGTTTGTGAAAGTCACCTGACGATGTTGCATGTGTATTAGAATTCATCTGCAGACAGTTCTCATTGGTTTTTAGTGTAAAACTACTGTTTCGGTGTTATTACTCAATCCTGTGGATGAAACGTTGACGCAAGTTCTGTTCAACGATTATGGTAAGAGGAATACTTCTTTCTTTTTTAACTTTCTATTGATTCACGTGAATTTACAGTTCACCATCGTTAAAAAATCGGGGTAATTACAGTTTATAACATCTAAAAATTTTTCGACTTTTCTGTTATTCATTTTTTAAGCCGAAATAGAATGCAATATTGAATATTTTCTTTGCGACTCCGGCAAACCTACAAAATTTAAACATTAAAATGAAAATGGTGCATTGATAGCTGTGAAATGATAAGATACAAGAACATTTCTTAATAGTCGAGACCAAAAAAAAAACAATTTTGTTAAAAGGAAGATCAAATTTCTGTTTATCGATACAAACGAAGATTTTGTTTTTCAAAGCTATCGAAAGAGAAAAGCTAGTCTTACGAAACGTGTCCTCATTCTCTTTTCCCTGAATGAATAAAAAATTCGCCGCACTCGAGTGATTTTATCACTCATTACTTTCTGCAAGAAGTCTAGTGTCAAACAGTCCGAACTCCTTTCTCCTTACGGAAATATTTATTCATCATGCTTTAAATTACACTATCGTCTTTCAACCTTTCGTCAAATGCGATAGCCCAGTGGAATGCATCTGGAGACTTTTTAAGATATTGATATTTCAAAAGACTGACGCAATTATCCGAAAACTGAGACACCAGTGAAAACAATTCAACCGAGTGGCTTGAATGTGGGTGTAAGCAATAACATAATTCGTCAGTTCCTTTCAGCAACGATGAACTTGACACAATTTTGTCATCATTATTATTCGACTCTGATACTCAATTACACACTTGCGTCGTTTTGGATCTTTCAATGGGGTATCTGACATCAAGAAACAACTGGCGATGTCCCCTCCGCAGAATGACATTTTAAAACAAATGTAGACTTGTAAAATCAGGAGATAAAAGTAATTGTAGGGTAACGAGTTGACTTTATTGTGTCGACGATGCATATTCAGTTGAAGTTCTGCGCAGGAGTATTCAAGAGTGTGAGAATGAATCGGGGACACCTCTAGAAGACCATCGAATATGACCGAGTTACCGGATTGTCCAGGATTATTCTCGAGGGCATCGAACTGCCTTCATTGACTCCATTAAATCGGATAATCCCGTTTGCTCCTTGTATGGCGATGAATAATCAATTTAGCGCGGCTATAGTCATCCTGGAATATTCCATGACTTCAAATTCCAGTTTTTTTTTAAGGTGAAGAAGAGACTCGGCGGTTTTGCTCAGCCGATTTGAGGATCGGGGTTTGTGGGAAGACACGAGTGTTGCGAGTTTAAACGGGTTGCTCGGTAATCGAATAAAATGGATAATCGGCCGTGGTTGACTCCTCCATATAGCTGGGACGATATCCTCTCGAAAACTCGTGCCGAGAGAAAATTACATTAGTGACGTCAGCGGTGGAGGGTAGATGATATTTTTACCTCTGTTTTGCTAGTGTTCATTTGAGGATGTTTATCAACATTCGCAAAAGTGAATTTTTTCATGGTCGAAAACAATTGTATGATTTTCTTAACTGATGGGAGAACGTGGAGAACAAACTTTACCGGCGATTGCAGGAAATGAATTGCAGCACTTTGTTTTTCGGGTGAAATTGCTGATATCCGTTTTCGAAATTTTTATTAAGGGATAGCTCCACTGAAGTTCCAAGAAATTTCATTGAAAATTTACAGTTTGATGAAACGTCAGTGGAAAGTGTCAATTTCACACGGAGAGAAATCTTCAGTAAAAATTACAGAACTCACAGTTCGCTCACGGATTACGGAATCTACTTAGAAAATTTAAGTGACGGTATCGTAATTTTTCACAGAAGATTCAGGTAAAAATTACGGAACACTCTGGAACAAATCCGTGATTTTAGATAAAAATGACGTGATAGTTCCGTAAAATTTCTTACAACCACATTGCGGGCAGTTCAATAATTCCCAGATCGATAGAAATCAGAAAGATTAGTGTAAATATATCCTTGAGTGTTCATTCAAGATGATATTTTTACCTCTGTTTTGTTAGCGTTCATTTAAGAATGTTTATTAACTTTCAGAAAATTGATTTTTTTTTCATATCCGAAAATAATTATATGATTTTTTGAGCTGATGAAAGAACGTGTGAAACAAACTTCTCTGATGATTGAAGGAAATTAATTGTAACACCCTGTTTTTCAGCTGAAATTGCCGGTACATTTCTTCGACATTTTTATTAAGCGATAGTTCCACTGAAATTCCATAGAATTTCGTCGTTAAAAATTCACAGTTTGATGAAACATCAGTGGAAAGTGTCGATTTCAGTTCAATTATTCCAAGAAGGTCGACAGAAAATTACATTAGTGATGTTAATGATCGAGGGAAAATGAAATTATAAAAATGTGTTAAAAAATTCAAATTGTTACGGAAATTTCCATATTCGTTAAACAAAACACCTGGATTTCCTGAATATGCCCCATAAATCTGAAATTCTATAGATCATAAATCCAATTCAAAGTCAGTAATGCGCTCAGCTTATTCTCACATTTTTAATCCTCATTACAGGAATAAAAAATGATTGCTCCAGACTTACCACTCGAGTCTGTCTCGAATTACCTCCTCGCATTACCCGTATCCTCACAAACCCCATATCAGACGAGATCTCCTAATGAGGACAATCGACGGATGAAAATTAGCATTGAATAAACCCCAAGGAAAGCTCACTGATTATAACATTCCATCGATTGCAGCTGATTGTACCCACTGAATCATGCACTTATTATACATTTTAGTCCGAACCACGTGTCCAGTAGTCGGGGCTTTGACAGCGAGTGGCAATTATTGTAAATACCCTAGTCACCTTGTAATGTAGAATCAAAACGTTTGAACTTCCGTTAGAGGAGCCTCACACAACCACGAGCGTTTATTCTAATACTTTTTTCCCCTCTTGATTCACGAAAATGCAATTCACTCATCGTCGTTATGCGCGAGGAAATTTTAATTTTCGGAGCTATTACGAGTGAATTGTGATGAGTCGAGCCAATTAACCGAAGAATTCAAAAATATTTACAGCCCATAATTACAACCATTTGCTTGAAAATTGGAGCAATGGCTCAAAGTCAATGAGAATCAGGAAACGAAAATTAACATTTTTCAGTTGATTATGAGTCTGCGGGTCTCAACACACGTGATATGGGCATTAGTGGACGCAAAAAATGGGATGATTTTGTAAATTTTGAAACAGGAAGAGTCCGACCGCACTCGAATTGCCGGAGTTGCGGTGCTCGTCGCTTGTATCCACAGATGAGGAATTTCTTACATAACAACACTCGATACAATGCCCGGAATTCCATTGCTGGAGTAATCACTGTTGGGACAGGGGAGGGCAAGGGAATGAATCTGTGGAATCGCGTTGATAATCGGCTTCGTCGAGCGCTACACACCTTCCACGAGTCAAAAAACACTATTGTTGTGCTTCTTTTTACATCCAAGCAAACTCAAAGGAATTTTTTTTAAGCACCAATAAACTTATAGATACTGATTGCAAAAACTTGGTTAAACATAAAAAAAATTACGATAATAAATAAACTCGTGAGGCACTCTTGGCCAAAGTTTACACATTTTATAAAATAGGTTTCATAGAATTTTTTCATCACGCTGTGTGTAAAATGACATTTTACGGACGCTCCGCGTGCGCAAAACCCCACTTCCCACACATTGTGATGAAAAATAGGGTTCGATACTCGCGAGAACAATGTTTTTAGACTCGTGGGATTATATCACTCGCCTTCGGCTTGTGCTATAAACCTCCCACGAGCCCAAACACACTTTCCACCAATTGTATCGAAATATACTATTCTTATACTAGTTTTTAAGGTATGTAAATATTGTAAATAATGACTATTTTTTTAAATAAAAATTTGGTTAAAAAAAATCAAAAAACACTTTTACGCACTCGTATTGAAATATAATATTTGCCAAGGAATCAATTTCTTGGGAGAAGAATTGATTTTTTAGGAGCGTATTTCTGCAGGCCAGTCATTACCAAGTGGTACTCCATGCCCATCTCCAAATATTATAATTATGTTGAATTATGAGATACTTCTATAGAATTTTCTCGGTTCAAATTTTCAAAGTTCTTTTTTCATTTCATTTTTCTTTTATTTCATCAAAAAAATCAAACACAAAAACTCAGAAAATTTGAGCCACGGAAATTCTATAGAAAATTCGAGAGAAATCAAATAGAATTGTCTAGGTTTTTCTATTAAATTTTTGCATACCTGTTCCTTGGTCCGGTGAATCTCTGGGAAGCTATTAGCAACGGAAGAAGCATTTAAAACGGTTGAATAATAAAACTTGCTGCAAGCTTAATAAATTTTGAAACGATAATGATGTGGCTAACAACATATTAAAAGAGAATAAAAATTTTAACAACTATGACAAACTATTTTTAATCCACGTCCTGTCATTCTCACCTGAGCACTAGAATTAAGTACCTCCGAGCGTTGGAAATATGAATCCTACGACCATTAGATAAAAATGGCATAATTACTCCGTTACGCTTCAGAATATTTTCCTCAAATAATAATATGTGTAATCTGGAGTATAAATTAGATACGATTGCCGCAGAAGGTGTGTTTCCTGGTGTTTTTTCTTTTTGTCTCTGTGACAAATGTTCACCGGATATAAACTGTGCTTGAACGCGGACTGAAAAGTGGGTTGTTATGTAAAAGTGACATCTGCACCTGTTTGGTATGTTCATTGTCAAGGCCAGTCGGTTCTTCCGCAGGGGTTTTTTCTATTAGTTTTTTTTAAGGCACACTGTTAGAAAAAAAATGAAATTTCAAAGAAAGTTCAGTAAAGTTTCAGAATTTGAAACGATGTCAAAACGAGAATTCCTTAATTTATTTGAATTTCCAATCTAATATGAATATTCAGTGTCAAACGACATTAAATTTTCAGTGAAATCTGAAATTTCATGATTTTTTCCCCCGAAATCGCATTCAATGTCACTATCCTGAAAATTCAAGAATATTTACCGGAATTTTCTAATTTCCTATTCATTTTCAGGGAAAAATGAAACGGAAATTTACAGTTTTCTTTGATTGTTCCACAAAATTCCCGGAAATTTCGTTGGTAATTAAATTCGATAACAATTTCCAAAAAGTGTACCAGAAAGTTCAGATAAAATTTTTCAACAGTGTGACAGAGTTTTCCGAAGGACAATGTCAGTGAAGATTTTCGAACTGGAAATCACGTGTGAAAAAAAACTCATAGAAAAACCTTGCGCATTTGCTGAGAACTTCTGGTGCAATTCAATTGAAAATTTAATTTTTTTCCGTCGTTTTTCACTAAAAATGCTCAATAGAAAATATTTTTCAGACAAAATCAATGGATTTTGTGCTTTGCATAACTTATTTTATTGAAATATTCTTCATAGAAGTTCCTGGGCATAAAATCTCTAAGTTTTTTCTACTGAATTTTTTCTTTTTCTCATCAAAAAATTCAAATAAAAATACTTGGAACACTCAACTCAAGAAATTTCTAATTGTTTCCGAGATGGTAATTTTAACCGAATAAGTTGTATAGATTAATGAAAATCCTTTGGTATGTTCCGTACAAAATTTTCTATTAAATATTTCTATTTTAAAACGTACAGAAAGGTTGCGAATGTGACAGATTCATTGAATTTTTTTATTTTCGAATTGTTATGCACTTATTACTGAAATCGTTACGAAATTGTTGCTTCATCTTTAGTTCTACACCTATTCTTTTATTTTTGCTTACACGGAGAGAAATATTCAATAAAAATTACGTATCTTTTCCGTAATTCCGGAGCGAAATGTGGTTGTACGAAATTTTACGGAACTATCACGGAATTTTTTCGGGGCGTTCCGTTATTTTTATCTAAATCTCCTACGAAAAATTACGATACTGTCACTTAAATTTTCGGTGTCAATCTCGTAATCGGTGAGTGAATTGTGAGTTCCGTAATTTTTACTGAACATTTTTCTCCGTGTATGGATCACTCTCCCGAAAAATTAATCAGCTACAATCTTAGTCTTCATCATAATGACTAGAATATTGTGGTTGTAATGACATGAGTTTATGGAAAATTTATATAATTGAAGTGATAATAAAAAAAATCTTTTCTAAATTACATCCGCTATGCTAATTATATCAGCTGTCTCGATCCTTCTGTCAGTCATAGAAAATTTGGAGGCCAGTGTCATAATTGATTTGAATTATTCCCTTCCCAAAAGCCGAATAAAGCATCAATCAATGGGGTCTTCCAGAGAAATCATATTCATTAGTACTAGTATTTTGTACTAGTTAATTAAAGCTAGGAAAATTTTTCCAAAGATTAAATTTTCAAAAAACGGATTTTTCGAGGTTGAAATGTTTCTTAACATTGTTGTGCCCCTATTATTAAAATTGTTATTAAAAAATTATAGGTTTATTTGCACTCCTACTCTTACTCCTTTTATCTTCGTCCTTGATCCGCTCATCTTCCTTTCCCCTGAACCTGACGCCGCAGTTTTGGACTCCCCAAAAATCCATTAGTTACAATCTGTTAGTCCTCATCACAACAACTGAAATATTTTGGTCTCAGTGACATGGAACAGAACTGATGAGCCATCCCAAGATCAAGTTTACGAACAATTTGGCAATTAAAGTGATAATTTTTAAAAAACTCCGCAAACTACATCCATTGCATTCTTTGGTAAATCCTAGGAAAATTGGAAGTCAATGGCATGATTGATTTGAATTTTTCTCCCCCCAAAACCCGACAAAATCGTGAATAATACAGTAATTTAATTCAATAATAATCCAATAATTCAATAATAATTTTTTCTGCAGGATTAAAAAGTACGCATTCACGATGTGTCATGCTTAGGAGTCTAAGTTTTTTGTTGACGCAAAAAACTACCGACAATCGAGACAATTGAGACAGTAGCAAGCTCTCAAGATGCTGCTTCTCAAAAGTTTCTTCCGTAGGATAACCAAGGACTTCCGGATCAAGGAGCTATGGTCCCTCAAACTTATTTTCTTCGTCCAAGCATCGAGTGAGTTCAATAACTAAATAAAAAATAATATATTCCACGAGAGAGATCTTTCGTCCTGCTGAATCAATTCAGTTGTAGACATTAAGGATAGTTTCCACCAAAATATGATAATTTCCGTGGCAATAATTGTTCTCGTAAGAAATTTACATGCTTTTCGGGTAAACGAGGCTCAACAAAAGATAGTTTTAAGGGAAAACTTGAATTTTCTTCCCGAAAAATGTCATTGGAAAAAGTAGATAATTTCTAGGGGAATATTTTTCTTTATTAAAAAAATTGCGACTGTTCGAATTCCTCTAGGGGTACATCGTCATGACAAAAAGTCCATTTTTGTGAAAAATCTCAATTTTTCTTGCATTAAATATCCGGAGAGAAATTTTCCACAATAAATGTTCCACTTGAAAAAATTATTATTTTTTCTTGTGTAGCACCAGAAAAATTGTCATGCGACGCCAAAAAAATTATCGCTCAGCCCCGGAAAAATGATTAGGGGCACCATAATTTTTCTGGTGTCGCACGAACATTTCTCTGGTGCCACACAATAATTTTTCCAAGGGTGCGGATTGTGCCACGTTCCTGGCGCTCAGCACATGAATTTTTCTAGAAAATTTTTCTCTATGTATTAAATATTAAACATCAAATAGTGCGACTCCATCAGATATTTTCACATGGAACATATAATTTCGACAGAACTAATTCTTTTTCAGTGCACTGTTAAACATTTTCGTCTGACCTTCCCGTATCGAATCCAGAAAATTGTTATCATTTTTAATTCCCATTGAAATTTTAGAAAATCTTGTCATTGAAAAATCAAATATTTCATTGATTTCCTCTTCGAATTATCAGAAAATCAACAAAATACTCGATTTTTCAGTTCAATTATTCCATGAAAATTCGGAAAAATCCGGAGAATTCAGGGAAAAATTGAAAATTCATATGATTTTGTTTCTGGATTTTCATATTCCATACAAAATTCAACTCTCACTCAAAAGTCACGAATTTCCTTGAATTTTACCTACAACTTGAAATTTCATGACCATCACTCTCCAAAATCGGATTCAATATCACTCTCATGAGAATTGCTCCCATATTTTCCACAAAACTTTGAAAAATTTCCACCAGTGTGCACCGATGTCGTACTATCTCAGTAATGATTTCAAATTTCCAGCGCTATTCGTCCTCTACCCATATTTAACGATTCACATGAGGGAATTGGGTATAAACGTCGAAGAGACTGCGATAATGAGTGCCGTAACTCCATTCGTAGCGATCGTGATGCCGCCGATAGCAGGACTAATAGCAGATAGGATAGGAAACTTCAAAGTAAAAAATAATTAAAATGCGTTATGCATAAAATTCCGATGATGAAAGAGAAACTTCACGGTGTGATATTTTCCTCCAGATCCTGCTCTCTCTCTTTTCATCGCTCGGTGGTGCCAGTGCACTGCTCCTTCTGCTTGTTCCTATCGGTAGGGCTACAGTCAAATACCCTGAACAAGTGGTAATGGATTTAGGGTGTCCAGGAAGTAATGGAGATCTGCTGTTCACTATGAGCCAAATGAGCCATCCCTGCGAGGATAAACACGAGTCTGATATTACGATGAAAATCCAGAGTTGTGGGTGAGTGGGTTCGCGATGATTTTGCATGATAAGTCCTATTTTTACGCCAATCATGATGCCTCTGCATTTTTGCAATGGAATGCAGGATAATTACAAAGTTATTCAAGGCAATTGAAACAATCCTGCATTATTCAGGTATCTTTGTCGTGTGGATCTGCAAAAGGATAGCGATCTGCAGATGATGCTGTCGTCGAAAACTTATACTGTCAAGCGTTTCAATTCAGCGAGAAATCATACCGATAGTTTTGTTTATCACAGGCCCAGTGCTGATCTTGTTCATGTGTGTATTATTCCACTTGTCTTTTCAAATAAAACTCCTTCCATGAGTCATTGTGCGGTCATTTCCAGCCATAACTAACACCATTTATTTGAAATCAAAGAAATTTCAAAGCAAAAAAAATTTTTTTATTTAATATTTTTTTATCAACTTTTGTTTGGTTTTTTATTCTTGAAAGTACTAATGAGAATAATAATTTTCCATTCAGCAGAATGAAAAATTATGGAAAAGTTCTTACGGGAAAGGATTTTGTCAATGAATTAATTGAAAACAAAACAAAACAGCAAAATCCCTTCCCAGAGGAAGGGCTAGGGAGGGCCGAGAGGGAAACAGGAAGATATGATGCTGAATTTCAATTGAATGAAAAAAAAAGTGTAATCGGCCTAATCTGATCAATTGAATTCTAAGACGAATAGAAAATTATTATTCTCATCAGTACTCTCAATAAGAAAAAAAGTTGATAAAAAAAATAACAAAAAAAATTTTTTTTGCTTGAATTGCGTCTAGCAGTCATTTTTGGACTATTTCATTTTGCCCCACTCTCCCCTACTTGTTCACCTTGAATAGGACAAAACGTGCGAAATTAATAGGGAATTTTACTCTCTTGGACCGGGAAAATTTACTAAACATGAGGGTGATGAAAAATTACTCAACAAATGACATAATCGTAGAGCGAAAAATAAGCGTAGCTCCGAAAAATTTATCGCCCCTCAGGATAATATGAGGAATATGTTATAGCACGTATGAAAAAATGCAATAAAAAGCCCATTACATGCGCTACAAGATTCCATTCGAAGTCTATTAGAATTCTATTGAACACTCCATTTATTTCCCGCCAGTTTCTATTGATAATGTTATCTTTCGTTAGATATTGACCGACAAAAGTCAACAAGTGTTGACTTTTCTGTGCACCTCATTCTGCTGTGATTTTTTTCTCACTTTTTTAAAACTAAAAACATTTATACCCCAGCGTATCTGTCGAAAAACTTCTCCAGAGAAAAACTGAGTCATATAGAAAATCAAAACTCTACTGTCTTTTTCCATAAAAAACAAATAGAATTTCCACTGCAATATTTCATTCAATTTTTTCATAAATCTGCATGGTTCACAGTTTCATAATTTCCCCCTGATATCAAGAAACAATATCACCCCATATTCTTCCGTACGTATTACTTTCCCTTTTTTTGCAAAATTCCAACTACTAAAGTTCAATTACCATTAAAAATTCAGGCGTCAGATGATCACGACTACACAAAAGAGCACCGATTGCTGCGAAACAATGAGCACTTTAAAACATGCATCCGTCAGCTATCTCGAAGTGGATTTTTCTTTCCAACTCGTCAACTCCACAAGTTCACCTGTTCCGAAACAACCGGAGCGATTGATTTTTATAATTCAACAGCGAGGCCCGAAGGAACTGGGGAGAAGTCATTCAATCAAACTCGGTGCGAGTTCAATGAAATTTTCTCGCAAGTGTGTTTAATAAGCCAATCAGTTCCCTCCTCCCTCGCCGGCCCCATCAGTTCAAGGAGTAATTAATTTTTCAGACTGAAGTACAGAAAGAGGAGTTCCTGACGTTTAAATCAAGGATAAAGCTCCTGAATACATCGAGCATAGATGAGTCCGAGAGGAGAAGGAGATATTTAGGTGAAGCCATGACACTAACAAGAGATAACTTCAGTCCCGTAAAATGTGGAAATCCTGATGAGAGAAGTCGTGTGTCCGTCACAGTACCTCTCGTTAATTGGACGTCAAACGCAGATCCTTACAAATCTCTCGACATCCAGGAATGCAGTGAGAGGTGCATTGTCACCGCCCCAAGAAAAAAATTGTGCTCGAACATGAACACTGTGATAGAGTACAATACTCAAATGACGTTTTGGCTGTACCTAGCAATACGAGTTTTCATGGGTAACTAGAGTCACAATTAGAACAAATCCCCTTGTCATCGTGTGTATGAATAAAAATGTAATGGATGAATCTAACAATTTCTCTGGAAAATTCTACTCCGCTTCTGTTGAAACTAATGAGAATTATATTGGAATTCTATTCAAAAGTTGATTAGTTCTACTTTACAAAAGAATTTATAGAGAAAAATCGCGACTTTTTACATAAATCATTTTGTTGGGCAAAAGTTGTGTCTGAGAATATCTCAAGAGAATAATTCATACAGAGAAATTAACTCTATTGCCTTTTTTCAAATTCGTTGTGCCGTTTTTCCTGTCAAATTCGCTTGTCCTTTTGTGCAATTAATTGTTTATAGTAATTTTATTTACAAAAAGCAATTCGATCAATTATCTTATTTGTGAATATGTGCGAATAAAAATTTAATAGATAAATTTAACGATTTATCTGAAAAATTCTATTAGAATTCTATTGAAAAGTTAATTAAGTTAACAAAAGAATTTATAGAGAAAAATCGCGACTTTTTACATAAATCATTTTGTTGGGCAAAACTTGTGCCCCAGAATATCTCGAGAGAATAATTCATACAGAGAAATTAACTCTATTGCCTGTTTTCAAATTCATTATGCGCTTTTTCCCGTCCAATTCGCTATTACTTTTTAAATTAGTTGTTTATTAATTTAATAATTCTCATTCCAAAAAGCAACAGATAAATTATCACACGATAAAATTTGCATATTACAATAAACAATTTGCTCATGTTCTAATTCTCATGCTCACTGACTAAAATTTTAACCATAATTACAATTCAATTTCTTCGAGAACACAGTTTAGAGTGTGAGTTTCTGGAATTCCCTGTTTGTTGATACTCTAGTAAAAGTGCGTGCCCACACTGTTATCAATTTTTAATTAGTTCACACGGTAGTTCATCTCATCAACTTAACCCCGTGCTTAGAATATTGTCATCTTAAAAATTAAAACTCAATTTGGAATATTGAGTCACAGCTTTGTTTTATTCATATCAGAAATTTTCGATTTGGATATTAATATTTTGTTCAAAGTGAGCAGAAATCGATCGTTATTTTCACTATATTGCATTCAGATTCTCCTATCCTCAATCAAAATGTAAGATAATCTCATAACTCTAGCTATTAATTCTAATCAACTATTATTAATTGAATGAATTATTCTATTTTCCTCTGACCTCCATGATTTGGACAGTTATCATTCGTTTATTCGTGTTTCATAGAATGATATTCAATTCTCATTTTCGATTCGAGATATTGCCCATATTTTTTTTCGAAAAGAACTATTTTTTCTCTAGAAGGTTCATAATGAAAATTCAATAGAATTCTTCAGATAAAGCTCTAGATTTTTTCATTAAACTTCTTCTTGCATGCAATCAATGCACTCTCCAACGATCTTTATCCACAGGAATAATCAGTGGAACAGCATTCGCAATGTTCGAAGGAGCTGTGATAGCAATAGTGCGAATACAGAATGCGGACTATGGCCTCCAGAGGATATACGGAAGCATCGGAGGAATGATATCCTCTCCCCTATCGGGCCTATTAATCGATTATGCAAGTCAGGGTAAAGAGTACACAGACTTCAGGTGAGATATCATAGCTCTCGTTTAATCTCACCCGACAATCAAAATTCACGGCATAATATCTCATTCCAGACCTGCATTCTATTTATACTCAGCCCTGAAGATACTATCTGGTGGACTGATGCTGATGATAAATCTTGAATTCAAATCACCATCTCCCAATGTCGTACGCCATGTCATCACTGTACTTAAAAACGTGGAAATCATTGCACTTCTCGTGGCTGTTTTCATTTTGGGTCAGTATGATTTGATCCATTGTTCAAGTTTTATTTATTCATTTATTTATTTCGATATATAGACCTAACAGCACGAGTTATAGACTCATATGATTCAATATTATTTACACAGCTACAATTTTATAAAGAGTTATATATAATATAACTAGCAAAATTAATGCAAGTTGAAAAGACGAAAAAATCAGTAGAAAAACCTACCACTTCTAGGGACTACTAGGGAATTGTTGAAGTTCGGTTTGAATTTTTACAGAAAACAACTACGAATTTTTCGAACGATATTTGATGGAAAAAAGTCGGTAGATATTCCTTTGAAATTTTTCCCACTGAAATTCTTGGGAATAAATTTTATAATTTTTTTTCGCTGCATTTTCTTTCTCGAAAAGTGGCAAATTCATGCTCGAGAATTCCTATAGAAAGAATCTGTTGATTTTTTGTTAATCAAGTATCTGCGAAAAAAGGCGTCGACGAAATTATATAATATTCGCCAGAAATTGGCAGAAAACGAATACCATTTTCAATAGAATCCACTAGACTTGGAATAAGTTTCGAAGTAATGAGATATCGACAGAATTCCTCTAAAGAGTCGATCGATTTCTCGAGCGAAATTTCCTGCCTCAAATTTTCGTTTGAATTTTCTTATACAAGTTGACATTCAAATTGAATCCTGAAACATTAATAGTCTGTCCTCGTTGATGACACATTAGTACAACCGTATGACGCAAACGGAAATGTAGTTGAACGACCGGAAACAGTCAATTCGGTCCAAGAATTACGATATAATCATTGAATAGTTGATATCGATAGGCCCTCAAGGTTGAACAATATTTTTTAACAGTGATGTTACGTTCAACGAGTGGCCGAACTGTGCCTTGTTCGTTCACAAATAAACGAAAGGACTTTTTGTTTACTTTTCGATTACGACTAAACGAAAAAGCACTTTTCATCACGCTGTGACGAAAAGTGAACTTTTCGACACGCTCCGCGTGCCTAAAAGTCCAATTTCCGCCACATTGTGATGAAAAATATTGTTCGTAACTCGTGAAAAAATGTTTTTTGCACTCGTTACGAAATATACTATTTCGTTTACTTTTCCTCTACGAGTTAACGAAAAGAGACTTTTCGGCACGTGGTGAACATAGCAGTAGTGTAGCAGTAGTGTATTTCTATACTCGCCTTCGGTTCGTGATATAAACCTCCCACTCGCCAAAAAACACGTTTTCACGAGTTACGAACAATATTTTTCATCACAATGTGGCGGAAATTGGACTTTTAGGCACGCGAAGCGTGCCGAAAAGTTCACTTTTCGTCACAGCGTGATGAAAATTATATTACATTGCGCTATCTACTCTGTTGATATGCGCGCAGGGCGCGCAATCAATCTCACACGCCTAAAATATGAATAATCCGTCGAATCCTCTTTCGTCATAAATAAACTTTGAACCAGGAAGAAAGACAATACACAACTCCCCATTTCAACCCCTCCATTGAATGTTTTCCAGGCATAGCGTGGGGCTACCTAGAGTCCTTCCTCTTCTGGCTGATTCAGGACCTAGGAGGTTCAAGGTCACTGATGGGTATCACCATAACAGTCGGTGGAATAGCTGGAATTCCACTTCTTGTACTCTCCGGACCGATAATCAATAAGATCGGCCATGCCAACGTACTCTTCATTGGTTTTGTGTTTAATTCCATCAGGCTACTGGGTACGGCAATTTATCTCCCATCTCATTGATATTCATCATCCACTAGTCCCTCTCATTACAAAAAATGAACAATTCCCCTTGCATAATTCTACAATACTTGCACAATGAAATTGAACGTGAATAAATAAATCTTCAGTGGATATTTTTTACCCATTGCCCGATGTTACCGTTAGTGACCAATGGTATCTACTTCATCTTCAATTCGTATTTTCCACGCACAGGCTATTCACTGATTTACAATCCCTGGCTCTGCCTCATCTTCGAGGCTATGGAATCCGTGACGTCCTCGCTCGCCTTCACAGCCGCCATAACATACGCCGCTAAACTCTCCACCACAGCTACCGATACGTCTATTCAAGGTCTGCTAGGCGGTCTTTATTACGGAGTTGGTGAGTTTAATTCTGAAATTTATTACCCACCAATGAGCATCATCCTGCTGTTAATGTCCTCTTTGATATTTAATTTTGCTTACTACACTGAATACAGCCCACTGCATTTAATGATGGTAATTCAATTATTCGCTGCTAAAAATTTTCATCTGAATTTTCCGTGTCAAATCCTGGAAATTTTTCCGGGAATTCAAATATTCCGTTAATTTTCGGTTCAAATGATCTGATAATCAATAAAATACTTGATTTTTCAGTTAAATTATTCCGTGAAAAATTAGAGAAGTCAGGAAAATTCAGCAAAACAAAATTCAAAGTGAATTAGAATTATGAAAAATGAATCCCGCACCGCCGAAATTTAGAAAAATTTAAAATTTGTGTCACTCTGTTTCTCAATATATTCATGTTCCATTGAAAATTCAATCAATTCGTACTGAAAACTCATCATTTGCCTTGAATTCTACCTAACACTTGAAATTTCATAACCATTTTTACCCTAAATCCGATTCAATGTCACTCTCACGATATTTACTATATCCTCCATGAAATTAAAAAAAAAATTCTAACAGTGTTGTTTCACTTGTTTTGTCTGTTGGGATAACAGGTAAAGGGGCTGGTAGTTTGATAGGTGGCTATCTCATGACAGCATTTGGCACGCGCCCCACGTATCAAATTTTCGCCGTTGTCTGTCTCATCACGGGGTTAATCTACTTCTTCTTCAATCTACTTTACCTGAAAAAACGTCCTCAAGTCGAGGGAAACGATATAGTGAAGAAAAAACCAAAGGACCAAGGAGTGACGAATGTTATCGATGCAAATGATAAAAATGAGGCCAAGAGAATCGAAGCTATGGTGGGAGTAGAGAACATGGCATTCGACAGTGAATTCTCAATGGGGAATTTAAATCAGACGCCGAGCGCTAAAACACTGGAAACAGCTAATAATGCCAGGAATCTCGATAGCATTGAGAGAATGCCGGAAGAGAATAAATTGAGAGCAAGAACTGTGAATTCGGTGGATGGTAATCGTAAAGTAGGAGTGACGAATGCGGGATTCGAGGGAGAGACGAATGGTCAGGCCGATGTTACTGGGGAAAAAGAGGCACGTGAAGAGGAACAGTAAATGAGGGGTTGTTAGTCTATGTAAACGTGCTCATTCGTCACTCTTCGGTCACTAGAATCACTCTGGACAGTTAATGCTGGCTCAGAGGACTGTACCATGTACGCATTTTGTTTTCAATGCAAAAATGGCGATTGCCATTCCGGGGAATTTTTAGGATGGAACGGTTTTCCATTAATTTTATGTGCTCATACTCGAGAGGTTGATGTCAGTGGGATGAGCATGTGTGATAGATAGATGCGCCAGGCGGATTTGTCAGTTACCTTATAGAGTATAGATCATTCCATTATTTCTTGTATTTTAAGGCGTATGGAAAAATTCAAAGGGAAAACATTCTATTGAAATTTTATAAGCTCTTTGACATATTTGCTTTTGTAATTTTAATGGCTCACTCTTTCGAGATTCTTTTCTATCCAAATTCTTAGACTTTATTCGTGGTGGCCGGAGTTTCTTTCCCCGTGGAAAAATTCCCGGATTTCTTCCCCGTTAATCCTTTCTCCGCGAAATCTTCTCGTTGACATTCATTTTTCTTACGATTTTTTTCATGTCGGATCTTGTTTAGAGTTTTACTTCGGAAAATGCTAATTGAATTTCTTTTTTTTCTCTTGGAAGGAAAAAAATGAAAATGATTTATGATTAATGTCATAAATATTTTTTTTTCATTCACGGTTGTTTAGTCAATTCATTGTTTACCGAACAATGTTGATCTGTTTTATTAGTTTTATTCAATTTTTTATTCATTTACATTCATTTTTTTATATGTTGCTGATTATGTTGAAAATAATAATAATAATTTTAGAGGATTGGAATGTTAGTAATTTTGTGTGGTTGTAGATGTTCTATTTGAACAATTCAATCCTAATTTGACAAAAGCGCGTGTATAAATTACTCATGATGTTTAGAAATTGTCGACTTCAAGAAAATAATGGATATTATGAATATGTGCCTGATTTCATATTTTCCTGGGAGATTGTACATGAGTTTTTTTCTTGGGGACATAGAAACTTTTCTGGGGAATATTTTTTGGGAAAAAAGTTTCCCGGGGAAAAATTGTCCGGAAGACCAATTTTCCGAAGATTTTTCCCGGGGCCTTTTTCACGGAGAAAAAAATCCGGGAACCTTATTCGTATTCTTTATAAATTTTCATTATTATTACAAAATCCAAAGAATGGATTTGTGTTATAAAACCCATTTTCAACAATTCTTACATAAAAAGTCATAATTATATATTTGAAATTCAGGAAAATTTCTCCAAAATTCCAATAGAATTTTCCATCCAATGCTTTAAATTTTCCATTTATATATTTATTTTGATTATATATTTGAAATTCAGGAAAATTTCTGCAAAATTCCAATAGAATTTTCCAGCCAATGCTTTAAATTTTCCATTTAATTTTCCCATACGCGAATAAATCATTGTATATAAATGTGTGAGCTATTTGAACTAATGAAACATTGTGAATTGCACTATTTTCAGGAGCTACTTGTGCATGACTCGTAATGTTTTTTAAGTGAGATACGAAGAACATGAAATTCATGTTTGCATTCTTTATATTACCACTCATCTGTGTTATCTTATGCATACGACGTAGAATTGTAAATTTCCCAATGTAATGTAAATACTGTGAAATTTAGGACAGTTATAGGTTTCGGTTACAATAAATGAATTGTTATGGAGTACTCCTTGTTCTCTCGAGACTGTGAGTCCATTCTCGTTTGGAGGATTATGGTTGCTGTATCTCACGATGTGGAGTCTGGTAACGGTGTAGAGCAGTTTACAAACTGAATTAGTGGTTTTTTATGGGTAATCATTATGATCATTTAGCGTCTTCGGGGAGGCAGGAAATGTATTGTCTGTATTTTCACCCATTCATTACTATTATTCATGGACTGCTGCTTTCCAAGTGATGATTATCAGCAATCACCAATTATTCCTGTCATTTTTAAATTGCTCGCGAGTTCTGAACGATTTTGAATTCGCGCAAAATGGGAGGAATGGACAATTAGGGGAGTTGAATGGTCAAATGAGTTTCAACGGTCCAACAGGGGAGTACAGTTACGAGTCTATATATCTCACCCAAGTATCGTTGACGTACCACTCATCCATGACGAGCAACGATGATGATGTACTGGCGTCTGTTACTTGTTCACGTATCAGTGATTCTCGTGGTCCTCACGCCAATAAATACAACGGGAATACCCGAGATTGCATCGTACGCAAAAGTATCTAGGAGTTGTGTGAAAAGTTCAAATTCACCGATAACCAGGTACTTGTCTCTCTCAAAGTTTCTCACCAGAATTTTAAGTAACTGATTCCAAATCCAGCAGTGGAGGAGTTGTAAGCGAAGGGCGAAGTTACCAGGCTTCACCGGTTTATGTGCCTTCGAAGAGCCAGAAACTTCGGAATGGAGAAGCTCAGGATTTCGCACCGAGTCAACAGTAAAGTAGCTGTGTTTTTACTTACAGGGACGAAAAAATTTAATAGAAAAACCTATGGAATTCGTTAGAAAATTCTATTGAATTTTTATTCAACTGTTCTATTAGTTTTTGGCCGATTCTATTAAAATATTCAATAGAAAATATTCAGTAGAAAAAGTCAATAGAATTCTATTTTTCTGTATAACTTATTCTATTGAGATATTTTCTATAGAATTTCTTCGGCTCAAATTTTCTAAGTTTTTTCTTTCGACTTTCTTGATGAGAAGAAAAGAAAAATAGAATGAAAAAAATTTACAAAATTTGAATCGAGCAGAATCTATAGAAAATACATGTAAAGAATAAGTTATATAGAAAAATCGAATTCTGTTGACTTTTTGTATTGAATTTTTCTATTGAACATGTTAATAGAATCAGCCAAGAAGTAATAGAAAATTTAATAGAAATTTAATAGAATTTTCTAACGAATTCGATAGGTTTTTCTATGAACTTTTTTCATGCGTGTATTGTCGCTTCGACTGATTGATTTGTTCGGCTGAAAGGTACTCAACGCTTGATGAAGATATGCTGTCTAATTTGGACGCGAGGAAGTTGAAGAAACAAGCGCAGGACAGGTTTCATCCACCAGCTCCGTTTGAGCATAGTGTAGCGCATTCGAATAAAGTAAAGTATCAACAGGCTGATGGCCCACCTGACGCGTCCGAGTTTTCGGACTCTCCGGGGGCTGCAGCAGCTGTGTCATCGGGGGGTTATACTACTTTGCCTAAGGATGTGTACTCAGATAGCTACGAGTACCCACTGACATCGAAGCCGAAGGATACATTACCGTCAATCACGATTGATGACTATTCACCGAACAATTATAATCCAAAGGTAAAATCAGTAGCGGAGCGGTAAAACGGTTTGCGCTGTTAGAAATGTCTTGAAATTTCAGTCACAGCGTCATCTGGATTTACGATGTGTGAGTTTGAATACAATGTTAAATGAAAGCATTCACCAAAATTCACAAAATTGGGTTTTCCATGTTAAACAATCATTGATTTTTTAATGAAAGCTTGAATTTCCAAACTCATCAATTTTCAATAGATTGAGAATTCAGAAAAATTGCTGCCTGAATATTAAAAATTTTAATTTTTCGGAAAAAGACTTTGAATTCGATTTATGGAGAAAAGTCAATGGAATTTCGAGTTTTTCTGAAAATTCAAGTAAAGTCCTAATTTTTTAGTGGCAGGAAGATAGAAATTCCACAATTTACATGAATTTTCATGTGAAAATGAATATTCACTGCCAAATTCCCTTGAATTTTCAGGGAATTCCTTTACAATTCTTGAAAGGAATTTCTGAAGAAATTTCCCGAAAATTCAGAAAAATGTGAATTTCAGAGACAGATTTCTCAGAACTTTCCTGATTTTTCACTAATTTCCCCAGAATAATTGAAATAGAACTTACAGTTCCCCCGGTTTTCTCCACTAAATTATGAAATTTCAGTGACATAATTTCTTGAAATTTCAGTGAACATGTTACTTGCTAGAAATTTCCAAGGCCTTTACGGGAAATTTCAGTGGAATATTTTTACCAGTGTAGAATAAAATGGCATATAATCCTCCAACAAGTTATCCGCTGACTTTGTATTATTTCCGATAAAATCTTTAATTATTCCAGCCAGTTGACTCTTACCCACCGTCGCAAACCTCGTATTCAGCTCAACAGGTGCCCAGTTACCTCGAGAGATACCCAGATAAGCCCGATTACCCCGGGCCTGATTCATCCTTCGATGACGCATCCTACTCACACGATCACGATCATTACCCCCATGACATCATCTACGATCACCCACCGCACGATTATCACCACGACTTCACCACAACAACCACCGAGGAACCAGAAATGAACGATCAGAGATTGAATAAACGACCTTATTCTTATTACTACATTGGAAAGAAACTGTGGTATCTTCCCCTTTACTTCAGCATTTACTTCATCATTTATATCGCCGCTCTGGTGCTCAAGAGCATCGCCAGACATAAAATCAATTTCCCCCAACAACTGGCGGAAGCGGCTGGGGCGAATGGTAGGCACATGGGGCAGGACGGGCCTGGGTGGTGGGATCTGACGCAGAGGGTGCTCAATGGAATCGACGCGTTTGCCAGTGGAATTCATGAGAAAAATAGAGGAACTATTGAACGATGAGACTGTACCAGTGAACTTGATGTACCTAAATACTAATTATTGCAATAAAAATTTTCTATAAAATTAATTCAACTGATTTTTTAGAGTATTTTTGAGGATTTCAATCTTGGAAGCAATAACTTATTTCGTAAAGTAATGGAAACATCTCATTTCGCAGCGCAAAATTGAACTGCTTTCATGAATACATAATCAGTTGTCACTAGTTTTATTTATTCTTTCGGTAATTAACTTCCTGGAAGCCAAAGTATTTAATTAAATTATCGAATGACACGCGATTTTTCTCGCGTTATTGACGTTTGGAGGTAAAGACACGACTCAATTAGTTGCGAAATCATGCGGTGGAGAATTCTTTTGGGATTTCATTGACATTCTATTGGAATTCTACTAGAATTATCATAGAATCCGATATTGGAAATTCTCTTTATTTTTTTACCGATTACTACGAAAATTAGGTAATTCAGCCATGCGATTTTTGAATAAATCTTTCATAGAAAAAATTTGATATTTTTATTATCCTATACAATTTATGCTACTTTGATTCTTGAAGAAACAAAAATTAGAGAATTTATGTAAAATAATCATATCGGAAAAGTCTGAAAGGTAAGTCATATAAAAAATTAAAACTTGATTTTTTTCTATATGTTATACCTACAATATTTGTCGAAAAATGCCAATAGAAATTAAAAAAATGATAATATTCAAATATCGTTTTCCTAGCTTCATTGAGAACGCAATATAATTCCCCAGCGAAAGCGCTAGATTTTTCTACATGAAAAGGACAATCAACGACAAATTGCAAGAAAAATCCAGAAAAAATTACTGAAGAGTGTACCCTAAAGAATCACTGAAAATGCGCGGAAATTTATCTGTTTTTCTCTTACTTGTCAACCAACAACTAACAAATTCTACTGTTCGTTTGCGAAAAATAACGCGTCAGAGGGAAAAATTTATTCATGTCCCAATTACAATTCCGGAAATGCAATTTCGCTCTACGATTGCCTCGATTGCACATTCATTTTCGTGATCTTTTCCTTCACGTATTAAATCATTTCATATACGGCATTTTATGAGACAGACTGCTCCCATTGGTCCTTCACCCGAGCTCCGAATAAACTCGAAAAATTTAATTAGGATGATTATCGTGTGTTGTGAGTTTACTTAACGTTTTCAGTGTTACAGTTACAATGTGAAGTTCAGTCGAACGGTGATCATCAGTCACTCATCCAGTTGACAGAGAATTCCAGAAATTTCCAGTGGTCGTTTAGAATTTTCCCATCATGCACGATATCCGTAAAAATTACTGATCATTAACGTCTCGCGGTATTTGCCTAACGTTTCGTAGTGCAGTCGAGGACTTTCCGAAGATTGGAGTCCTTCGAATGATCAGTTGACTGCCAGTTTCCAGATTCATTGGCGGTTTGAGCTGAAATGCTCGTAATAATGATAATAAAAAGTGAAAATCTACTGATTAACAAATGTTTTGTGGAAAATTGCCGGAAATGTGCTGAGTAATAAATATTGAGCGACAGTTGTGAGCAGTTGTGTTTGAAAAATTGGGGGTGAAGAACAAATTCTAGATCTCACTGGGTAATTGATGCCATCAATCAAATATGGAAATTCGAATTATGATCAGTATTCTCATTATGTCCCTCTGCAAGTGGATTAACGCAGTCAGGGTGGACGAGAAAAATAATGAGAGTGTGTTGACCACAACTGAGAGGACAGCGGTTGCCACAACAATGCAATCATTCAGGTTTGTCACAATCTCTGTTTAACCCTAATCTGGGCATCATAGGTGACCTTGCGACTTTGACAACGTCCGCGGGGACTCGCCGCTGCGTTATTTAGGCGCCAGAGTTGCCAAGTTCATTCTACAGCGCGCGGACGCGTTCAGCGAGTTTCCGGCAACGTCGCGAAAATAATTCGTCTGTCGGAAAAAATTTGCTTTCTACAGGAATTTCGACAATTATATTGTTCTAAAACTATTGAAATTGAAAAAGTAGTCTAGTGTTAAAAATAAATCGAGGAATAACAATTATAAACAATTCTGTTAGACTTTTATTCAAAATTGTAGGAGTGCTTTTATTGCAGGAATTTTTCATAGAAAATATTTCACAGATAAAATCAATTAGTTTGGATGGATATTTTGTATATAAAATTCTCGGCATCAGTTTCCCAAGCTTTTTTCACGGCTGCTTTTCTTCTCTCATTAAAAAATTCAAGCGAAAAACTTGGGAAATTCATGTCGACCATTTTCTATAGAAACAATTTCGACAGGATGAGTTGTATGATTCAATTTTTAATATTAGAAATTCAATAGATTCTTTCACCGAATGCGCTAGATTATTCTATAAAATACCTTCATACATGAATACCTACTGAAAACTGATTGACTACCGTGAATAGATTATCAAGGGCATATCGGCGTGGCCATGACGGCGAGGATGATCATCACGATCACGATGACCATGCGGATGAAGATGACGACATGGAGGACTCGAAATCAATGGCCAAAAGCGAGTACTGGGGCGGTTACTACGATTTTTTGATAAACGAGGGGAGCTACAAGTTCTGGGCTGTGTTTCAGGCAAGTAGAGAACAAAAATCAAAATTAAAATCAAAAAGGTATTTTCCCTTTTTTTCGATTGAACGAGAATGAAGGAACGTTCCTATTTGACACACGGAGTAAATAATTGCACGAATAATTACTTTACAATCTAGGCAGTGGGAGAACGAATCTGTATTTCAGAAATTTTTATTTAAACTCAAGGTGAAAATGGGAGGCAAAGCGTAATTTTTCACAAAAAAACCGTAATATTTATGAAATTTTTAAGAAAAAGTCTGAAAGGAGCGAAAAAATGCTGCCGCAGGTGGAGCGAGCTGAACACTTCAGACATTTTTCTTAATATTTATAACTCAGAAATAAATTAATCAATTCAGAAGTCTGGGCATTTCATCGACACGTGAATAAGGTTTTAGCATTAAAAAAAATCAAAAGTAGTTTTCACTTTATTTTTCTCATGAGTTGTCTTTGATTTTTTTCTCCATGTCCTTAAAATCAATTTGGAATCGATTCTCTGAATATGATTTAGATTGAAATTTACGATGCGTAAATTATCGAAAGATGATTGATCCCCCCATCTGCAAACTAAAATGGGAAAAGTGAATTGGCACGGTCACTCACCACTTGAATATACCGTAACAAATGTTTAATATGTTTTGGTCGACAGCTTGCCACTGCTGCACTCCTCATCTACAGCGGATTTGCTGCCCTTTATTACGCCAAGGTAAATCCATCTATCACGGACGACTATGATGATTATTTTCTCCGTAGAAGAAGAAGACGACGTGACACTAACAGTCCGTTATTTTTTGGTATAGACAGTGCTACATTCCAGCGAATAATGGACTCACTAGAGAGGAGAAATAATGATTTAATGTAATTAACTATTTTTCAAATAATTGACACTGAGTTATGACTTTTTGTCACTGTTATTCATTGTATCCCTCTCCCACAAATTCCACAAGTATTTTAAAATTCATAATGTGTAAGAAGAAATTATTTCGTATAGTTATTAACGATTCCGTCTGATTTATCGTATGATTTAACAAATAAAAACCATATTGAATAAAAAATGGTAAGAATGTAACCCACGTTGTGATATTTTGACATTTTATGCAAAAAGAAGTCGAAAGGATGAAATATCTGTCAAAAAATGCCAAAAGAAAAATCAGAAAAAGGCTGTCGATATTCGCTGAAAATGCAGTGGAATTGATCCGTTTTTTCAGTACTCTTTCATCAACAACTCACAACTTTTACTGTTCGTTTGCGAAAAAAGCGTGTTGAAGAGAAAAATTTGTATTTCCTAGTTAACTATTTTTAAAATAATTGACATTGAGTTATGACTTTTTATCACTATTATTTATAGCAGCCCTATCCCTTCCAAATCCTCAAGTACTTTGAAATTCATAATGTGCGAAAAGGAATTCTCTCCCGTAATGATATAACGGTTAAATAAAAACGAATACACTAATAAAAAAATCGAAAAAAAATAGAATTCAAGTAGAATTTTGATAGAGTGTCAATAAAAATGCAATATGTAATTCCCCAGCAAAAGCGCTAGATTTTTCCACACGTAGAAGGAAATCAACGAAAAAAATGCAGAAAAATGCAGTAAATATTCGCAGAAAATGCAGTGGACTTAATCGGTCCTTCTATTACTGTTTCGTCAATAACTTACAAAGTTTACTATTCATAATTTATCCTCTCTAATTACTCATCTTAAAAATAATTGCCATTGAGTTATAACATTTTATCACTATTATTCACAGCACCCCTCCCTCCCAAATCCTTCAAGTACTTTGAAATTCATAACGTGTGAAAAGAAATTTTCTCCGATAATGATATAACGATTCCATCTGATTTATCGTATAATTAAACCAAATAAAAACCCCACTGAATTATACCCTATGAAAATGTTGAGAATGTAACCCACGTTGTGATATTTTGACATATGAAACGACTAAAGATTAAATTAATCACTCGAAATTTTACGAAAGAATGCACTGATTATTCTCCAGCCAGTCGGGAGGAGGATACGCGTAAAAAGCGTAAGGAATAAATAAATAAGAAATGACAACAAAGCCGTAGCGCAGGGTGCAAAACCCCCTTCTGTGCGTATGGGATACCCTTCGGGGTGCACTTTCGGGGGCCTTCGATCGTTGTGGGCCTGTTGAATATTCCTCGGATTAAAACGTAATAAAAGTCTCGCGAAAAAATGTTGACCGATAAATCAAGGTACGCGTATCGTTTCCCCTCTCTCCCTCGGCCCTTTCGTCCTCTCTCTTTCTCTCTCTCTCTCTCTCTCTCTCTCTCTCTCTCTGGCTTCTGCCCGCGATAGTCGTTCGGCGCAATCCAATGCTTGGAGGCAAATTTTCTTGTCGAAGAGAGATCGCAGGAGGATCGCAACGATTGAGGGAGGGCGGGGGGGATGTGCCTCCAGCGGCACACAACAGGACAGCGGCATGGGTCCAGCGCCTCCTCAACACATTCCTCCCTCGCTTACTCCCCTTTTCTGCACGGGCGTAGTCACTGATAGGGTCTCTGCTCTTAATTCCATCGTCGGCTAATCTGCTATCGCGCATCTGCCCGCATAACACGCGGACGTCATGTCCGAATCAAAGGTCTTTAAACGTCATTGGAGGAGGGGGAAGGGGCCACTGGGAAAAATACAGGCGTTAAGGTATATAGGCCCTAGAAGACAGGTTTTGTTTTTCCCTCGCATGGGGACATTAGCATTAATAATTATATTATCAGCATTAATATTAAAATTATCGCATTAATGTTTTTAATGTGTCCCAGCTATTGAAATAAATTCATCCGGAGGCGCAAGGAGCTATTTATTGACATCTCAATAAATAGCCCCATGTGCTTTCGGATGTATTTATTCATCGATATATATTTTTTGAAGTAGTTTTTGGGGGGAAAATTACTCGTATTATTGATTGAATAAATTGATAATTGCGTGCACTCGTGAAATTTCATCATCAATTATGGTTTTATCGAAAAAGGAATCCCTGAAACCCCTTGAGCAAAAAACAACCCCCACGGTCTCCCTTACCGCATGCTTTGATATTATTCAATTATTAATATTATTCAATTACTCTTACTCTATTCTACAGATAGATTAAATTCAAAATTAAACATTGTTTGAAATCGTGAAATTTATTTAGTATTCAGTATTTATTCATCGACTAGGGGGCTATGCCCCTGCTCGATTCGCTCGAGAACCCGCATATGACCCCCGTAATCCTTATTCTGACCCTTGTGACCCTTAATCTTATCCTCGTAACTTTTATTCTAACCCTCGATGCCTTCATTGTGACACTCGTGACCCCTATTCTCACCCTTGTGACCGTTATTCTGACCCTCGTGACCCTTATTTTGACCCTTGTGACCCTTAATTATGGAGTCTTCATTTCAAGTACCAAATTTTCATCACCAGAAGTCGACTTGGATTTTTATAATATAGAGATAGATTTTTTAACGTAATTTTTTAATGGAGAATTACTCGCATTATTGATTGAATAAATTGATAATTGCGGGCACTCATTAAATTTGATCATTACGGTTATACCGGTGATTAGCATATGTCCGTCGTCAAGATCGAGGGGGATTGATACATATTTAATGAAATTGAATTTACATGGGAGTAAAAAGGAAAATTTCGTTGGGTCGACCATGTTCAGAGTCGTCAGTCGCGAGTTATCGGACAATCTTCGACCCTACGCCCCTGCGAAAAATCGGGGGTGGGGGGGGGGGGGGGGGGTAGCTGGAGGAAGAGGGACATTCCCCCACGTACGCATTTTGCTGCGCCTGGTCGTTGGGTTTACCGTGTTCTCAATGCCGGCATCACTTGTTGGCTTGTCTTCCTCACACAAGCGGCTCCCGTAGGCCACAATGCTCCATCTCCAGCGATTTAAAAAATTTCAAGATAAATTTTAAGTAGACTGATACTGGGGGTGGGGGTAAGTAGAGCCTTGTGTGAGCTTCGTCAAACCTGATTCTGGGGATGCCATTGGGTTCACTTGATGCTTTGTACCCTGTTTTTGTGACGGTGTATGAAGTACTTTGGTAAAAACTGTTATTTGGGAGTGGAGGAATTTTAGCGATCGGTAATGGGACTTTTTGAGGCGATTTTTTTATGCACCTGTTGGAGGGATTTTTGGGGGAATTGAGAGATATTATATGACTTTATGCTCGATGCTCGGAGGGATTGAGGCCTCTCATGAAATTGTTTTTATGGGGAAAACTGAAATTTCGAGGTTTTCATAATAGGAAATTCGAGATTTGATCAAACAATCAAAGGAAAATGTAATTTTAAAATATGATATCTGAGCATCACATTCAACAGAATTTTCGGTGGATTGAAAATTCAGGGAAATTGTTGCTTAAATTTTTAAATTATTTAATAATTGTCATTGTCATGTGGACCTTAAAATTGAAATTCCATTGAATACTCCTGAATTCAACTGATTTATCAATAAGAAAATACACGAAAATTATCACTTGAAATTACCCTTACTCTATTCTACAGATAGATTAAATTCAAAATTAGACATTGTTTGAAATCGTGAAATTTATTTAGCATTGAATATTTATTCATCGACTAGGGGGCTAGGAATGTTTGTAAATACGGCAATGGATTGAAAGGTCGATTACAAATGCCCGCTGGCCCCCGTACCAGAGTTACTGTTTGTCACTGTTGAGCTCGTGCAGCTCGTCGGATTCATTTAACACGTCAATTTTGGGTTGGATAATACACTCTTCACAAATAATCCCGTCCGCTCCGGTTATCAATCAGCAAATTCGCACTCACACTCACTAAATTCCCGGGTCTATCACAAAATAGTCGACGTAAACATCCAAAAAACCTTAATATCGATAGAAATTCCGTTACGGCCCGGGCCATTCTTCAAATTAAATCATTCACTGTTCAATTGCACTTCAAATTCTGTAACAACAGGTTGACTATTCGCTGCGAAAATGCCAGGCTTAGTTCCAGGTAACTCGGATCTTCCGACGATTCCCGTAAGTAGAAAAGGAACTCGTTTGGCTGTTGCTCGGCGCGGCCATAAATGCGGCGTTGTGACAGCGTCTTAACGCTGGGACAAAATTTTCTATAGAAGGATAAATAAATTTTCAGGTGAATGGGGAAAAGGTCGAGGCAGCATTATCGGATATAATGGTGAGTGTGCCCCGGCTCGTAATTATTCAATTAATTTTCGTAATCACGTGGGTACGCTTCCTTTCAACAGGAGGTGAGCACAGAGAGCAGTTCAGAAGTTCGCCGAGACAATCCTCAAGTGAGAAACGAAAGTTTGTAGATGTTTGTAGTAATTTTTAGAATAATTTTGAAAGTTTATTTCATTTGTCCGTCAGGTGGAACTTCAAACGAATGTAACCAACGTCAGCATTGGTGTAAGTTTTCTTCATTCTCATTTTGCTTTTTTCTTTTAAAGGCATCAGATTAAGGAATTAGATTTCTATTAGGTTTTGGGCGATTATATTTAAAAATAATTTCCTTTATCGGAAAGTTACTGAAGTTTATGTGAGCAGTGTTTTTTTTCAATACAAAGGTTCAATGGAAAATATTCTACCGAAAAAAACAGTAGGATTCGATTTTTCTATACAACTCATTCTGTTGATATCTCTATTGAGATATTTCGTATGCAAATTCCTCGGCTGAAATTTTTTTGTTTGATTTTTCTTAACGAAACGAGAAGAAAAATATTGCGGAAAAAACTTGGAAAATTCAAGTCGAGGAATTTCTACAGAAATGGTTTCCATTGAAAATGTGTTTTTCCTATAAAATACTTTCTATCGGACATTTTCTATAAATAAAATGCGCAATAGCTGCCGAAATCATCAAAAGAATCGGCCAAAGACTAATGGAGTTTTCTGGTGAATCATGCAATTCAGTTGGATATAATAATTCTTTCTTTTCAGACACAAACGAACAGCACTGGCGATTCACCTTCAGTAAGTCTAATAATGGCAGAATTTCTTGAGTGCAGAATAATTTTGGGGAGTATTCTCCGAATTATCTCCAATAGATAATATTTTATTTCTTTTTTTCAACAGCTCCTTGAAGCAATGGATTCAATTAACCAACTGGTGAGTCGATCAATATAACAAGTGAGAAAAAGTAATCAATTAGTGTGAGTAAGTATAAAAAAGCTCAATAGAATATGCCTAGCCCTTTCGCTGAGAATTTTTATTAAATTCTATTCATTTTTGGCAGATTTATGTTGAAAGATATTCCTCGTAGAAAAAAGTCAATTAATTTCCATTTGTCTATGATTTACTCATTTCTTTGTCTATTTAATTTCCTAGAATCTCGAGATTTTTTTGGTTTTCATTTGTAATTGAGAAAAACAAAATAAAGTGAAAAAAAAAAAGATTCATCCAAGTTCAAAAATCCATTGATGTTTTCTGAAAATACTTTCTATTAAACGTTTGTATAAAAAAACGCGCAGAAATGTAGTGGAATTTTTCAATAAAATCTGTCAAAAAATCATAGAATTTAAAGCGAATTCACTAGGCTTTTCAATGAAACTAAAATTGAATTGAATGTCTCTCTCCGACGAAATTTGTTTTCTTCGTTGACGGAAAGCGCACTCTTTCCCACTTGTACTAAGAGTATGAAAATCTTGATAATGAATAAACCCTTGAATTTTCTATTGCGAAAATCTTGAAGCTACGATCTGAATTCGATGAATTCAATCGAACCCTGATCCAATACTGCACACGCACCCAACGTTCGCTCAATCACATACGAGAGCGTATCGATACATTCCTGAGACAGCAAAGGCCATCACTCCAGCGAAGCACAGGCACGAGATCATCGAGATTGCCAATTCAACGCTCCCAGTATCATCTGCGTCCAGTGGGCCACAGGGCATCAACTTCACGGGCCCAGCGTTCAGCCGCCCAAAGGCCTGGCCCACCACGATCTGCCTCTCTGGGAATTGCAGGTCAGAGATCGAGTGTCATCCATCGCAGATCAGCCCGTTCATTGCCCCACGCTCGTGACACTACAGGTATCCTCCAAACCTCTCGTCGCATCCCGTCACGTAGTAAAAAATTCCATAGAAAAACCTAGCGAATTCGTCAGATGGGTCTATTGGATTTCTACAGAAAATTCTATCAGTTTTTTGCGGATACTATTGAATAATTACGCAGCTTTACTGTGCATTTTTTGTAGAAAACGTCCAATAGAAATAATTTTACGAAAAAATTAGAATTTCAGCTTTCTTTAGAACATTTTCTATTGAGACATTTTCTATACAAATTCGATTGAACTTCTATAGGAAATTCCATCAGTTTTTTGCGAATTCTATTGAAGAATTCCGCAGTTTTACTGTGAATTTTTTTTATAGAAAATGTACAATAGAAACAATTTTTTCAAAAAAATCAGTAGAATTTCATCTTTTTATTCAACTTTTTCTATTCAGACATTTTCTATACAAATTCCTCGACATGCATAAAAAAAATCTAACAAAAAACTTGGAAATATGGAGCCGAGGAATTTCCATGGAAATTATCTCAATTCCATAAGAATTCCGTCGGTTTTTTCCATCGAAAATTTATATTCACGGTAGTTCAATAGAAATATAATAAAATTTTGTTAACGAATTCGTGAGGTTCAACTATAAATTTTTTTCGCACGTGGTATTTCCGAATAAAAATAAAACATTAATTATTAATGTTTTACTCATTAGGATTCAGTCGTAATGGTCGCACTGGCACCTCCAGAGCCACTCCATTCAACCTTCGAAATGCCCCTTCCCTGTGAGTGTCTCATCCTCAAAATTCTGTGAAAAATCAGGTATTTCTAAGAATAATATAATTAGTTCCCATAAAATGTTAGAATATGTTGACCCTTTCTGCCATGTCACTGAGGATTTGACGATATGGAATACCACTCAAGCCTCAAATATTTCCCGAATCTATATGATTACTTGAAGGTCTTGAATACCCATTTTGTGCCATACAAGTACGGTTTATTCTTTATAAGTTCGAATTTATGACTGTACTAGCCTTTTTATCTTCCATTAAATATATTATTTTATTGTCATCGCTGAACGACGCCGTTTCCCTTCAATATCACACCCCAACTGAAACCCTTTAGAACAATACTATTCATATGTATCTTCAAGTTTGTGAAAAAAGAATAAAGAGTCAAATGTGCCAAGCCAGTATGAACAAAGTATTTTTGAGTATTTTTATCATCCGCACTCTCCGTTTGTTTTCTTATAACTATTGTTTAAAAAAATAGTTGAAGAAAGAAGTTAATGGATTAATTTCTCATACTCACAAATGTTAGAATTTATGTTAAAAAATGTCAATAATGAATCATTTTTTTTAGCATTTTAACCCCAGATTGGTCACCCCATGAGAGAAACCCCGCCGCGCGTCGGTTTTCTTTAATTACACTCGACTGGCTATCCGGAAAAATTCAAAAACAATTTGACTTTGTCGATTGAAGTGTTTAAAAAATTATAGTAGTTTTTAGAACATATTTTCCAAAATTCCTGAAGAAAAATTATTTCGGACAGATGAATTATTTTTTCCCGTGTTAAAGAAAACGCTAAACGTGCTCGGGCAGTGAAGAGTGAATTCGGCAACGCTAAAGCCTAAATAACACGGCGAGGAATTCCCGCGGAGGTGACCAAGTCGCAGGGTCGGGTTTCGTGACCAGACTAGGGTTAAAGTAGCATAAACATAACTCAAATTTTGGAGATTAAAGTCTGAAATGAATTGTGAACGGAAACTAATGTAAAGCGAAATATTTTCCAACGTACAGAGTTGCTATTGATCGGACAACCCTAGTCAAACGAGAGACTATTGTTTAAAAAAAAATTGAAGAAAGAAGTTGATGGATTAATTTGTTACTTAAAACTTATCAATGATGAGTAATTTTTTTGAGCATTTGAGCATTAAATTCATTTTCCCCCTTACACTCAGCGACTCAACTGGAGTTCATTCAAACTACTTCAAATATTTTGGATATTCGCCTTGCGCAAAACAATTACTCTCCAATCATTTGTTACAAGCATCAATCAAGTATCAAAGTTTGTAGTCTAGCCGCTTGTTTCCATCTTCAATTAGGCATTTCGTTTCTCCTCCATTGAATTTCTCCTCTAATTATCAGTCTCGTCATTCCTGGTTACATTAATTACCGTTCAGTCAAGTCAAACGGCAACTCGAATAACAAGATCGTAATCTCTAAAAATACTGAGATGACTTTGAATGCTCATCACCACAGGAAATCTTGCTCACCAGAAGTTCTTCCGCTATTTTTTTCTATGCGCAGTGTCTGCGACAAATGCTCACGTCTAATTATTTCTTCTCCGGTCTCAAAATAAATTAAATTGTAAAGTGTATGGAGACGCAGAATACAGTCCAGAGTCTGTACAAGGATACAATTCCCTAAATTCGGAAAAATTCATATAATTGAAATTCATTCATTAAAATACTAGAAGACCTTCGTTTTTTTCTACTGTATCATTGATTGTTTAGATAAGTCAAATAAAACACAAAGAGCCCTTTGAATATTCATCACGAATTAATTGTTGTTCTCTATCTCTAATCGCAGCTTCAATAGATCCATTTTCATAATTCGAAATTCTCTTCACAATTCTGCAACTCAATCCCTTAAAATTATGGCGAGTATTCATCCGAAAAATGGAAATACGATCGTCGACCAATGGGAATGCGATTAAAAAATTAATGCAGAAAATTCGATTGGATTTCTATTAGAAATACGAGTAGTTTTCCATCGATTGATAAATTCTGATAAATTCTCCAGCTTTGTGTGCCCTTTTTGTTCGATAGAAATAATCAGCAGGGAATATTGTACAGAAAAATTAATCGTTTTCGATCTTTAAATTCCGTCTTTTCGGTTGAGATTGTTGATATAAAAATTTCACGCGTGAATTTTTCTAGGTTTGTTCGCGCGCGTATTGTTTTCCGTGGGTGCCAGAATAGTAAAACCTTACCGTTTCTGATTTTCGTTAATTTTTGTCTCAATAATAATGCAGGAAAAATGAATGATTTCAACAAAGTTTATCGCAATGAGAATTTAATTGTTGAATAATTTATTCGGAATCGTCACAATCCTCTTCATCTTCTTCATTTCTCTTTTGCTTCTTTTTTATTTTTAGGGATGTATGATGTCCTATGTCCATATACACTATCTTATATATGTATTTTTTTATTACAGTAAGAAATGAATTTCTCTATTCTTCCAATTACTGCAAACAAAAGATTACAGTACACAAATAAATATTCATAGGCATCATATTACATTACTTGATCAACGGAATACAGGCTTCAAAAATCGTTGCATTGGATTTGTTAGAAATGGATTTTTTCAAGAGTGAAAATTACAATAAGTCGTATAAGAGGATTAAATTCCATTTTATTCATTCATAACTTTCAGTTGAAAATAAAACTGTGAATGTTTAGCAGAGAAACTAATCGCTTCCCACCGATTGGGCTAGTTCTCCGATTAAATTTTTTCCAACATGTCAAAACTTCACTTTAATCACCCCAACAAGCAATTTAAATGCCCTTTTAAATACTGTCCGTCAAAACTTATCAACTTTCCAAAGTTGAATGTAAAGACTCAAGAACCAGTGGATGAAACAAAGAGGAACGGGAATGACGGCACCTAAATAACAAACGAAAAGAATACCACTGAGGAGGAGATTGCCGGTTGGCTTGTGCATCCTGACGACGAGAGCAAAAGTGGTTGGCCATTATGATGGGAAAAACCATGGAATGCAACATGGAATTCGCGTCAGTCGCGTTCTCCTGGTGAGCATCACCACCACCACCATTGGTCGGCAAAACGCTTAGAACCTTGGGAGGCTGAATAAAGCGGGAACGTGAAACGGGACAACGAGAGCAAACGTATTTCAAACGGGATAAGGCTGTGGAAGAATGACGGCTGGGAGGGAGGGGGGAGGGGGGAGTAGGAACGATTGGACGAAGAAAGGGAAAGGGGACAGACTCGTCAAGGGAAATGGAAAAAAATTATTATCACAATTTAAACAAGCTATTAACCATTTTTTCCCCAACTTCCAACGAAATCTTTGAGGTTTGTTAGACTCCTACCGAAAAATATGAGACTGCCTCCCTCCATCCGCGAAATTTGGGCAATTTCAGTGAACCGATGCTGAAGACATGTTGAGTGCTGGAGAACAGCACAAAGACCGCCCGCATCTTCCGGATTTTTCAACGAAAGTAATTATAATTTAATTGCCAGTATTAGATATTGTCCCGAATGAATTGCTTCGACTGTTGCTGCCGTGATTGCATATTTTTGAATTTTTCATCGATTTATTGATCGATGGAAATTTTTGCGGAATTTCACAGGAAAAACGAATGTCTAAACGACATTCGTTCACCTTTTGTAGGCATTTTTCAGACAATTCATGTTTGAAATTCAAGCAAATTTTAATTTTAGTCAAACGTTTTTCAGTGTCTGATATTCAGATATTCGTTTTTGCTGTGTTGGTACTGAAAATTTTGAATTCTGTAATTTTTATGTCGTAATTTTTGGATGAAATTTCTGGTAAATTGTCCATTTTTTGTAAATGTTTATCCAGGGACTTTACCGCTGAAATTTCAAGGAAATTTGTAAATGTTTATTTATAATTCAATGCAGAGATCAATGGAAATTGTGAATTTAGACTCAATTATTCCATGAAAATTAACAGGAATCAGATAAAATTAGGTAAATATATCCTTGAATTTGTTATTAATTCAAATTTTTCATCATTTAATGCAGAACTTAATGCAAACTGTGAATTTACGTTCAATTATTCCATGGGAATTAATAGAATTCAGAAAAATTTACGTAAATATATACCTGAATTTTTAGTTCATTGAAAATTGAATCTAATTTAGTTCCGAATATTCATGGTTTGATTGAAAATTCACGTCGATTGTGAAATTGTCGTTTTTCTACCGCTTAAAAATTTAAAACTCCGTAATTTTTACGTCCTCATTTTTGGATGCAATTTCCGGTGCAGATTTTGTGAATTCGTCTCAAGAACAGTGCAAAGACCGCCCGCATCTCCCGGATGTTTCAACAAACCTAATTATAATTTAATTGCCATTATTAGATATCACCCCAAATGGGCTGCTTCGACAGTTGCTAACGTAATTGGCCATTTTTTTCTATCCATGTCTTCAGTTCACGAAGCACTTGAACGTGATTTTATTTAATTGTCCCTGAATTTTTTCACGTATTGAATCCGATTTTTACTCGAGTTCGGTTTAACCATTCGTAGATTCTCCTGATCTCTACGAATACGTAATGGCTTGAGGTAGAAAGAAGAGAAAAAAATGAATTCTCCGGTGGAAACGTGGGAAAAACACACAGTGCTGAGGCAAGTGAATAATCTTATCTCAAAAAGGGCTCTCTGAAACGTTCGCTTTGTTTCCGTCTTCCTACCTAGACACTGCGCTTATTTATCCTCCGGCCCAAGACCTGTTTACCCGTTTTGCCATTATTACAGTGGAGTACTTTGTTAAGTAACAATAGAAATATTTTACAACGCTAATTTTGGTTAAGGATTTTTATCCATTTTCCGAAAATCTATTCTATTGTGTTCCAGGAAAAGTCTGCCATTTTTCAGACTGATGGGGAACATGTGAAACCAATATTTCTGATAAGTGATAAAAATTAAATGTATTGGCTTTGGGAAAATTAAATAACAATTTTCTTCTTATACACGAGCTCTTATTGAAATTATTTTCTAATCGATAATTCATCGTTTGTAAGACCCCAAAAATAAAAGTAGAAGACCACATGGAAAATCATAGGGGAGGGTGGGGCAAAACGGCCCCCCTTCAATTGTCAATAACTTGTGAATGACATTGTGAAAATTCCCAGTTTCAACTTCATTTTGAAGATAATTTTTCATTCTTCAAAACGAGCTCTAACTCATCCCAATCGGATTATTGAATCGGAAAATATTGACGATTGAAGGGGGGCCGTTTTGCCCCATCCTCCCCTACTGAATCCAGTGGTCAAGAAAAAACCTGCGGTACCCAGGCAAAATATGGAAATATTCTTAATTTTGAGCTCCGTATAAACTCATGCAACCGCCTATATTCACGGAAAATTTTCTTTCATTTCTGAATAATCGAATCGGGTGGGTATCGACTTTCGGCA